ATATAGCAGAAAGAACAGAATTTTATATATATAAAATTTAGTATTTGTCATAACTATATAACAGAACTGTTATATATATTATATATATATATTTGTCATAACTATATAACTATATATATTATATATATATATATTTGTCATAACTATATAACAGAACTGTTATATATATTATACAATATAATATACTATATATGTTATATATAATATATAGTATATATTTAATATATAGTATATATTATATGATATAATATATTTAATATAATACAATATAATATGTATTATATAATATATATTATATATTTAATATATTTTATATATATATAAAATTCTGTTCTTTCTGTTATATAGTTATGACAAATACTCCATATCGGTCAGAAGATCCTGGACTGGACACGATGCTGTTCTCCTCAGCCAGTCGGAGAATGGAGTCGTCGGACTCATCCATGTAGCCAATGGTCCCGCACATGGCGGAGGTTTTAAACTGGCTGTTGAACCTGCCGGTCACCTTGTCAGCCTCAGCCACGTTCATCTGGGTGGAGCGTGCCCCTTGGCACCAATGATGCAGCTGCTGGCCGAGCATTTCCGCTGCACGTCGAGGTCCACGAACTCTCCGGTTTCATTTTGCACCGTGAGGGCGCGTCTGGTGCTTCCTTGCCGAGGAAGAGCGCCTAGAGGGTTTATGTTTTTTCAAGATTTATTTATTTATGCCTATAAATACTGAGGTGTAGGCCAGAGGTGGAGGGGCGGGGATGAGCGGATTCACCAGAGAAAAGTGGGGAGCAGGACAGGTGGATTCGCCCGGGGTCAAACTTTCGCCACAGTGCTTGGCACAGTGGCTGGCGATGGCTTGATAGCCCTGAGGCTTTAACTCCCTGCACCACCAGGGAGGCCCCTCTTCATGCGCTTTTAAATAAATGACCAATTTCCGATTTAGTGTTATAACATTCCTTGACCATCTTCATCAGCAGATGGTGCTTAAAGCGCTCCTGTTTGTTCCAGGAGGAAAGGCAGGAAGAAACTGAGCTACATATTGGTATACAGTAAGTGCTCGCTTAACATCATTCATGGGTTCTTGGAAATTGTGACTCAAAATATTTTTGAATACTGAATGTATTTCAGTAACATATTTGAGAAACATAATGAATGAAACCAATTTTACCTTAGGCTGATTAATATAAGCAAGAGTTCAGTTCCTGCAGCATATTTCTGGTCATGAAATATCACTCAACTTCAAACAGACCCTAAACACTCCCAATATTAAGCAGTAATTTATATTCATTCACTCATTTCCCCCTGCTTGTTCTAGGCCAAGGCCTCAAGTGATCAGAGACCCTCCCCGCAGCTCAGGGTGCAGGCAGGAATCAGCCCTGGACTGGGCGCCTTCCCCTCTCAGGGTACATCACCCCCACATCCACACCTCCTCTGAGGAGACAGCTGAGACTTGCAAATGAGCCTCACATACAGGGCTTTGGGCTGTGGGAGAAAACCCCAGCTCTACAGACTGCGGAACTGCCCTCGACATTGATTTTTTTTTTCGTCAACATTGTAGCAAAATGACATTATTCAATGATCTGCTTAGAGAGCCTTGAGCTAATAACAAGTTTGCTATACCCATTTTACAAATGGAGGGGGAGAGAAAAAGCTGCCATCCCAAACCAAAGCAAGCATTTTGGGAAAATGCTGATTTCATGGGAGGGATTCTGAAGGCTGGGTTGAAGGTTGCTTTTGAAAAAGATATTTACTTGTAAACTTCTCTTTACCTCTTTTTTTTTTAATTTTATTTGTACGTATAAGAACTGGGGTACAGGCCAGAGGTGCAGGGGTGGTGAGAAGATTCACCAGAGACAGAGTGGGGAGCAGAACAGGCAGATAGATGAAGTACACTGCTGAGGGGAGCAGCGGGCAGGTCAGGAGAGGTCTGCAGAGCCGTGTGGGTCAGCTGCAGGGCAAGGGATGGAATTCATGCTGCAGGGGCTACAGAGAGCTTCCTAGTACTGTTTTAACCCCTTGTGCCTCAAGGGAGGGCCCTAATTTCTTTTCTATATAGAAGGCAGAACTTTTACCTGTCTGTCTTTGTCTACCGGTGAATTCCCTAACTGACCTCCCACATGTCCCCTCCAAGTCCCTCTGTCTTAGCTAAGCTATTTAAGATGATGCCTGATCAAGTGGGTGTTGTCAGTCATGCTGGGTCTCTCCCGTGCCTGCAGGAGGTCTACTTGTTACTATTCAATTTCATTTTGATTTTTTTCTCTTGACAATCTGTCTAATGCCTGTTTGATTGTCCGTGAACCTGGAACCCAGAGGGGTATGGGTGGCCAGCTCATCACCTGTGTAAGTGGACACTCTTAGGGTTTGCATACCAAAGATTTACCTGTGCTGGATTCAGAACTGACTGCTGGGAGTTTCTCCTTACATCACAATTCCATAGCTCCATCTCCACAATGTTCCTTCATCATCTTATTTAATCTCCAAACAACTGTATGTTGGTAATCACTATTATCCTCACTTTGCCCTTGGGGAATTGGAGTCTTAGGTGACACAGCTAGTGGTGAGGGTTGGTGTTTGAACACAGGACTTGTAGCTCCAGTGTTGGGGTTCTTTGAACTTTCCCTGATGCTTAATTTTCTTGGTTATCTCCTGCATGATCAAGTCCCTGAATAACTCTCTTTTCCACAGTTGCTTTCTCCAGGCTGCCATCTCCCTAGTCACGAGTTCCTCCAACATGCCAGCTCAACCCATCTTATGGCTAAGCCCTGACTGTCTCCCTTTCCTGGAAGACTCTTGGCAGGTCTTTGCTCCTCCCTGGTGCTGATCTGAAGCTGTCATTCTCAGCCCCACCCACCAATCCTTGTCCCTCCCTCACTTTGTTTTTGATACATTGCAACTATGTGAAATTATATTGTTATTAAAATGTATTCCTCCTCTCCCCCCAACTTAGTTACTATCTAATGTCCCCTTAATGATCTTCCATCTTCTTGGAGCGCTGGTTGAAGGACATACGCGAAAATCCTGAGGCAGGGAGGGGAGAAAAGGGGAGAAGAACATGGAATGTGAAGTAATTGAGAGTTTTAATTAAGTCCCCTTGGCTACTGGGCACGTGATTCCTAAGCAAGGTATTTAGACTTCTCTGAGACTTTCAGCATAGTTTGTCATCTTTTTAAAAAAAGATTTATTTACTTATGCCTACAGAAAGGATTCACCAGAGACAGAGTGGGGAGCAGAACAGGCAGATGCACAAAGTACACTGCTGAGGGGAGCAGCGGGTGGGTCAGGAGAGGTCTGCTGCACCATGTGGGTCACCTCTGGGGCGGGGATCAAACTTGCACCAAAGTGACCATGGCTTGCTTGGCAGTACTGTGCTTTCACCAGCTGTGCCATCAGAGAGGACCTAGTTTGTCTTTAGGATTTTGAATTGAGGAACCCTAAATTCAATTACCAACATTTAATTTTGCTAAATAAGTCTAAAAGTAAACACTTTATTTATTATCACCAACATTTTCATAAAAGATAGGGCACATGAATCCCTGGAACTAGGAATTCTTCCTTCACTATTGGTGAAACATTATTTAGTTACTACCAGTTGAGTGCCTGTTCTGTGCCACTCAGTGTTTGCCCTCACAGAGTCTGCATTTGGAGTGGGGGGTAGACACGAATCAAGGAACTGTAATCAAAGATAAAACTCCAAGTGTCACAAGTGCTTCAAATGGGAGCTGTCTGGTGCTCTGATGCCCCATGATGAGGCACACAGGAACCTGGTTTCAAAGACCAGAAACCTGGAGGAGGAGCAGGAGAGGAGAGAGGGGTGTTTTAAGCTGACAGGCAGCACCAGCCCAGGCCCTGGGTGGAAAGAAGATAGTGGGGCAGAGCCTCCCTGGGGTTCAGGAGTTAAGTCTCAGCACTAGGAAGCTCTCAGCAGCTAAAGCAACAATAGCTAGATCTCCTCTGCCAGGGAGCTGACCCACAGGGCCCAGCAGACCTTTCCTGACCCACCCACTGCTCCCCTCAGCAGTGTATTTTACTCAATCTGCCTGTTCTGCTCCCTCTGTCTCTGGTAAATCCTCTCTCACTCCCACTCATACCTCTGACCTGTACCCCAGTTCTTATATGCATAAATAAATAAATCTTAAAAAAGAAAAGCCAGATACAAGGTAGAGGGCAGCAACAGCTGGCCACTCCTGAGGATTTGAGGGCCAAGGAAGGGAATCTCCCTTTGTTCCGGGCAGTAGAAGCCTGTTTGGTGGTGGTGTGGAGAGAAACCTCAGCAGAGGGACTATGGAGGTGATGTCTTTTGAGTTCGGGGTTCTTGGGTTCAAGTGTGTGCAATGAAACTCCGTCTCCAGAGAGATGCTGGTGCTGGTGTTACAATATGGCAGGTGGGGCTGTGGCAAATGGAAGCATCTTGAAGGGAAAAGGAAGAGGCTGTGGAGGCTTGGAGAGTGGATGAAGAAAAAAGGCTCTGTTGTTGCAGCTCACCTTCAGTTTCTGACTGTCACCACAGCATGGAAGGGGTGGACTTCCTGAGGGTGCAGCTCTGGGGAAGAAGCAGGTCCTAGAAGGAAAATGCTGCCTCTGGGAGATATGTTTAAGGTGCTTCTGAGAAGTCCTGGGCAGGCCCCCAGTAGGTAGCTGGGCAGAGCTAGGGGGCTGGGGTTCGGGGTTCAAAGCAGAGGCCAGCCTTTAACCCTTTAACTTGCTTTCTTTCTGCATTTTTGGCTGTGTGGAGACGGACTCCCGAGAGGGGCTGTTGTGGGCCTGGCACAAGCAAACCTTACATTTCTGTCCAGGCCCTTTTATACTTTGAATTGTGTGCATGTATTCCCTCTCCAACAATCAAAAAGATATCAAAAGAAAATTGAAAATACCAAGCAATTGAGCATTTGACCATGCAAACTTGACCATGGGTGTTGGATTCTGGAGTTGAACGGGAGGAGGGAAATCTCTAGGCTCTATAACCTTTGAAATGCTTTCCGGTGCTAACCTCATCTTGCTGCATTTTTCTTCACTCGAGCAATGTCGAATACCATCACATTCCACCTGTGCTGAGAGCCTTGAAAATATATGTTTAAAGGGTGCGAGGTCTCAAAATCAAACTCAGCAGTGTGGAATCCTGCTCATTGAATATTGCCTTCCCCGAAAAAGTAGAGGATTCTCGCTTTGTTGCTGTTTGTCAAAATTACCAGCAAAGTTATTTGTGGGGCACAGGAAAGTATTTGTAACTTCTGGTCATGTTAGAAAAGAGCTAGAAAATTCCTTCATTGTATTTGTTTAGCCTAGTCTAAAAAACCCCAAAGATTTCTTAGACTTGTTGATTGTTGGGAGTGACCAAAGATTTACTGACAAGGACTGAATTAGGGCGGTTAAGAATTTTGCCTTGCATCCAAGCTTGATAAAAGTGGTAGTAAACTGACCTTGCATCCAGGATGGGACTAGCTGAAGGTGACAGTGAACTGGGCCTCACATCAAGGACACAGTGATGAGCCACCCCCTTTGGAACCTGAGTTTAGAATCTATATAAGAGACCCTTCCCCCTTACTGAGTGGGCAGTAGCTGCGGACCCCACCCTAGGGGCTCTGTCTCAGCTGCTATCCGGGAGCAATAAACTCAGCTTGCTCAGCCTTTCTGCCTCCCGCCTTCCTTTCTTGCCGCCGGTCACAGAAGTTGGGACAAA